AGTACCTGTATACGAGTAGTATAAGCTGTAGAGATTTTATCCGTAGGGATTTTCTTCCAGTTGGACCATATAGCTTTATGCAGATAGGTCTTATCTGCATTTCTGTAAAACCCTTTTTCCATTCTGCCCTGGTATTCAATCTGACCAGCTACATCTGGCCATTTAGGTGTTAAAGGTAACTTCCAATTTTTAGCTATTATGAGCTTTATGGCTATAAACATAGGTGTGCGCGGCCTATTGCATAAGGGTGTGCACCCTAAAGCACAAACACACACGCTGCATGTATATGTATGTTTGCAATGCTGTGTGTGTGTGAGAGTGCTGTGTGTGGGCGCTGTGTGAGTGTAAAGGTGCTGTGTGTGTGAGGGTTTGGTGTCTGTGAGTTTGTGAGGGTGGTGTGTGTGTGTGTAAGGGTGCTGTGTGTGTGAGAGCACTGTTAGTGTGTGTATGTGTAAGGGTGCTGTGTGTGTGAGTGTGCGGTGTTTGTGTGGGTGGTGTGTGTATGTGAGGGTACTGTTAGTGTGTGTGTGAGGTCACTGTTAGTGTGTGTATGTGTAAGGGTGCTGTGTCTGTGTATTTGTGAGGGTGGTGTGTGTGTGTGTTAGGGTGCTGTGTGTGTGAGGGCATTGTGTGTGTACACTTGCTAAAAGTCCTGATATGGTTTGTTCTCTGCCTTGCAAGGCTACATTCAGGCATTCTAAGATCTCCATGATGCTAAGAGAGATTTGAAGACCTAGTAGAGTTTTCCCTTGCCTAAATTGTTGTAGTAGGCCACGCGCACGTAGATTTATATCTCCACTACTTCTGGTATTTGCAATTTCTTCAAGTGTTTCAAAAATCAGCTGGTAATTATCCAGAATTTTTTTCACAGGCTTCACTCTAACAGTCCAGCATGTTGGGCACAATGGTTTAATATGCAAGACTTTAAGAGGCCCTTCAGCTTTATGATGCAAAATTTCTGAAAATGTGGTTCTGCATTTCATAGATTGCCCAAAGAGTTTGCCAAGATCCTGCACACACCTAAGTGCATCTTCCATTATTGGACATTGATGTGCTGCGGCCTGCATAACTAAATTTGTGCAATGTGCACCGCAATGGACATAAATGGCAAGTGGATGTTCCTGCTTGATTAATGCCTGGGCACCATGATATTTACCAACCATATTTGAAGCTCCATCATATGTTTGCCCTTGCAACATTGACATACAAAGCCCATTACGGCAAAAAGCATCCTTGACAATCTGTGCGATTGCAGATCCACTTGTTTCATCAACTTGATATAAGCCTATGAAGTCCTAATGTGGGTACAAGTCTTCATCAACATAGCGGATACAGGCATTGTTTTGTTCTTGACCAGATATATCTTGTGTGCCATCAACAATAATTGCAAAGGCATTATTCCCAATCTGTTTCTGAATAAGGCATAATACGGTGTGAGACAATAACTTCAAAATCTCATTTTGAATGTCGGGACTCATGTATTCTGCTTTGGGTGATATCCAATTTTTTAGATAAGACACATCATCTGCCCGTGCAAGCAGAAACTGTTTAAAATTGCCATCATTGTCTTCATGGCCACGAAGAGGGAGACCTTGTTTTGCCAACAGGGTTATTGTTTGTACTATCTTGATGAGACACAGCCATGCATCATTCTGTTGCTGTTGAATTTGTAGTGAAAGCTGAGCATTAATGGGTTGTGAATCTTTATGATGCAATAGTTGCTTCATAGAATATGTATGAGCAGAACAACTCTGATATTTTTTAAACTTTTCAATAGCTTTTTTCCAATTTTTAAAGCCTACACAATCAAATGCTGGCTCAGTGTTCTTTTCGAGTTGAGTCAGATTCAGGATGGCTGCTTTAGCACAGTAGAAACATAGTACCCCTTCAAGAGTAAAACTATAGTGCAGCCATGGAACGTTTTGGAACCAGCACTCTTGAAAATGTAGAACACGCTTCTTTGCCTTTTGCGTTACAATGGTCTGAGCTGGAATTGTTTTGTAGTCTGGTTGATTTGGTACCACTGCCGTTCGTAATGTTTTCTCATCATCAGCTGGAAGAGAAATGCATTTTCCTTTCGTGTATGTTTTAGATTTACTATGAACATCTTCTACAGTTTTGATTGCAGGACCACAAGCATGGTCTTCCTCATCATCACTACTTGAGTCACTCATGAGGCCAACTGCTTCTAAAGACACTGTCTCAGCATATTCCTTTTCTGGCTCAACAAAATGATGCCTGACTGGTGATTCAGTGATCTCTTTTTGTTAACATGCTTCTGAGCTTGATGAGGATGTATTTGCTTTACTAGGCTTTGTAAAAAACTTGCGGATATCCATTCTGACTTTCTTCACTCAAACTGACTTTTAAGCATAAAGCTAAGGTTCTAGAAAAGACAAAATATAAAGAAGAATTATAATACTGAATGATAACAAAAGATTTAAGAATAACATTAACTTTTTAATTTCTCTACAATAATTTGTTTATTATATCTGGCCCATTTTCTGACATAGCATCTTTAACCTAGTGCGTGTTCCAGAATTACTGCTCGTTGCCCCCCCGGCAGCCGGCATGCGTGACTTGGGCAGTCTGGAACTGTTCTTGGCTGCCTAGTGTCAATTCTTGGCATAAAATACACCTGTCATCTTAGCACATAGCGCACTGGTGACAGATGTAATGACATTCTCCCTTGCAGGAAGCATTTCCAGTGCTGCCTGAATAGGAAAGCCTAGCTTTCCCCTCCCTCCCACCTCACTTATGCAAATCCGTATCTCAAGCCAATAAATCAAACTATTATAGCAATCCAGAGAGGGTAATCCGAAGAGCACTATCCAGCAGTAAAAATCAACCCACATAGCATTAGTAAAAATCAACCCACATAGCATTAGTAAAAAACAACCAATCAAGCAATGCTATGCTGAAATGTTAGTTGATTTTTACTGATGCTCTGATAGCATCAGTAAAAATTAACCGGTATAGCAGCAGTAAAAATAAACCCGACATATAGCATTAGTAAAAATAAACCCACATGGCATCAGTAAAAATTAACCGGTATAGCAGCAGTAAAAATAAACCGACATATAGCATTAGTAAAAATAAACCCACATGGCATCAGTAAAAATTAACCGGTATAGCAGCAGTAAAAATAAACTGGTATAGCAGTAGTAAAAATAAACTGGTATAGCAGTAGTAAAAATAAACCGACATATAGCATTAGTAAAAAATAAACTGGTATAGCAGCAGTAAAAATAAACCGACATATAGCATTAGTAAAAATAAACCCACATGGCATCAGTAAAAATGAACCGGTATAGCAGCAGTAAAAATAAACCGACATATTGCATTAGTAAAAATAAATCCACATGGCATCAGTAAAAATTAACCGGTATAGCAGCAGTAAAAATAAACTGGTATAGCAGTAGTAAAAATAAACTGGTATAGCAGTAGTAAAAATAAACCGACATATAGCATTAGTAAAAATAAACTGGTATAGCAGCAGTAAAAATAAACTGGTATAGCATTAGTAAAAATAAACTGTTATAGCAGCAGTAAAAATAAACCCACATGGTATCAGTAAAAATAAACCGGTATAGCATTAGTAAAAATCAACTGGTATAGCATTAGTAAAAATCAACCGATACGCGGCAGTAAAATCAGCAAAGCTGAACCTGAACACAAGGATAAACGATCACTTACTGTTAGTTTTAACTATGCTTAGTGGCTGTTTTTTGATAAAAAATAGTGTGGACATTAGCCCATATTGCTCAATTAAAATCATTTTTCCATTGGTCATTCAGGATGAATATGACCCAGTAGTCTGGTTAAAACCACAAAGTATGGGCTAAACTGCATTGTGTTTCACAGTAACAGGGGAGGAAAATGCTATATAATATCATGTTTTTTTTATATTTCATTAATATTTATGGATTTTTTGACTTAATGACATCACTCACTGTCTGACTGACAGCAATTTTAGAATAGGGGCCACTGGTCTTGAAAAGAAACAGGAATTACCATGCTACATAAAACAGAGTTAAATATAAGTCCACCTGCTAATATTTACACGTTAACACAGCATTATCAGCATTACTTACCCAGGCTGTGTCTCTGTGGTCCCAGCAGTGCACACACCAGCCAGCAGCTTTGCTTGAAGAAGGTTCATCCCTGACAGGCTGCCACTACTCTAGTCCAGCCTGAGACATGTGCGTCCTCCTTCTGCAGTCTGCAGCACATTCCGCCCGTGCCACATTGAAACAGGAAGGAGACCCCGGAGTGCCGATTACGCTGTTCGTGTAGCTAACAGCTACACTGGTGCATTCGGAAGCCGAAAATGCACCGAAATGTTACAGCGTAATCAGCACTCCTCCTAGTCCTAACCTGGGGGGGATTTCACAATACCGCATTATTTCCTGGGGGGGAGATCTGTTTCCCCCTCCCCCCCCCGGTTCCTATGCTCATGCCTTCAAGTAAACATGAGAAGGATGGGTGCAGCCAGTGTGAAAGACTGGGTGAGTAATGTGACAGACAGACAGGATAATGTGACAGACTGGTCGAGTAATGTGACAGACTGGATAATGTGACAGAAAGAATAATCTGGCAGACAGGATAATGTGACAGACAGTGCAGGATAATGTGACAGATAGAGCAGATAATGTGACAGACAAAATAATGTGACAGACAGAATAATGTGACAGACAGGATAATCTGACAGACAAAATAATAAGGAACAAAAGAAGAGAAAATAATAAAAGAAAAAATAAATACATTTTATTAAATATAATTACTTACCGCTGGCGATGTGGATAGGTTTGCAGCAGTTCCGGTTCCAAAGTAGCACGGCGGCAGTGTGCGGTCCTGTCACAGATAGGATAGAGCGCAGGACTCTGACATTTGCAGCGGTACCAGGGCGACATGGTGAGCTACCGGGTGAGAAATCCCAATGCCCGATTTTCGGCCGAAATGGAATAGGCCCGAAATTTCGGTGCACCCCTAATGGGAAATGTAGTCCAGAAACAATTTATGGTATCAAGGTTAGCCATCACTGCACTAGAAGTACTTTCTGGATTTAATGCTACAGTCTTTGCATGACCTACACTCTGCGTAGAGATGATGAACGCTCTCCATAGGAATACATTAATTCAATGCACTTCTATGAGGAGATACTGACTGGCACAGGCTAACAGCGCGGGTTGACTAAGATCATCAAGATTGATGATCTCAACCAGGGTGTAAGGGAGATCGGTGTGATTGGTAAATAAAGGTTAGTAAATCATACCTTTTTAATGAACACTTCCACTTTTAAAAGCAAAACATACTTACATTAAAAATGACCATTCTACAGTTGTTGTTTTTTTTTTTTTTAAATCTCTATTTAGTAGAAATATCCCCATGCATGTAGTCATTTGGGTATTTCTAAAAAGTGTTTGAAAAAGCTGCAGCCTTTACAAGCTCTTTGTGGTGCTCTCCACGGCGCCACGCCGTCCATTTAGGCCCTGCAGGGGTTCTCGGATTGAGGCCACGTCGGCCGAGATTTTCTTGTGATGGTCCTCCATGCTCACCGGTGTGGAGGTTGCAGCGGGTGGCGGGGGCTGCATCCGAGATGACGGCGGCTTTGTCTGGGTCGGGAAGCAGTCCCCCTCTGCATCATCCGACGTCTCGTCGTAGAAATCTGAGCATCCATCGTGGAGGGTTGAAAATCCTAGCGCCAGAGGCGTCTTGGGCCTGCTTCCAGAGCTCGCCTATATGCATGCCCATCCTAGGTTTTTCGGGCTTATGTTTTTTTATTTTTCGCCTCATTGGGCTCTGGTAAGGTTTGGGGTCGTCACAGAGAGGGTTTAGCCTGTGTCAGGGGGTTGAAAGTGGGTATTTTGGGTTTTAGTAGCCTGGAGCTCAGCATCCATGCGACCATCCACTTCAGTAGTTAAGCACCGCCCCTCATTTTTACTTTTAGCCCTGCTGCAGGCTAGCAGCTGAGTTGAAGGGCAGTGACTCCCGACATTGAGAGGGGGCCCAGCGGCTTTCCCTGCGCCGCCGGGTGCGTGGCCCCTTCAACTGCCTGGGGAGAAACCCAGCGACCCAGTCTGCAGCTCCGCCAGGTGTGAGCTGCAGCCTGTGCATTGTCTCGCGATCTCCAAAAGTCAGAGCGTTGTCGTGGCCCATGGTACCACCAGGGAAGGTGATGAACTAGAGGACCAAACAGAGAGCAACCAGGGGGTTTCACCAATCACCCCGTCCTTCATTCTGTCACCAGTCACCCCCCCCCCACTCTGTCAACAGTCACCCCCTCATTCCTCACTCTGTCACCAGTCACTACCTTCCTCACTCTGACACCAGTCACCCCCTCCCGCACTCTGTCACCAGTTAACTCCTTACTCTGTCAGCTCCTCTCCTTGCCACCAATCACCCCTTCCCTCACTCTGTCACCAGTCACACCCCCCCCTACAACACCTCCCTCATTCTGGTGACAGGGGGAGGAACGAGAGATTGGTGACAGAGTGAGGGACGAAGGGGGTGACTGGTGACAGAGTGAGGGAGGAGACGACTAGTGATAGAATGAGGGAAGGGGTGACTGGTGACAGAGTGAAGGGGTGACTGACCTTATTAATTTTTTTATCTTCTTTATTTTCGTTGTGCATACAGGATACATACAATCGGACAATGCCACAACATCAAATATCAGCAGTTCATCATTAACATTAGTATGGCACAGGATAAGAATGCACATTTTTTATTTTATAAACAAGCTCGCTAGAACAAGTATCTGTATGTAAAGCAGTGAATAACATGAGAGACAAACAACTAGCACATTTCTTGAATAATGCAAGAGAGCAGAATAAGTTGTATACTTCAGGTTAGGCGTATATGCAGTAAAGTCTAAGTGGGCGAAGACATGTAACCTGACTTATAGATTAACATTAAAGCAATGTAACATACACGTGTGGTGTAAAGTATTAGTCAGGCTGGGCTAATGTGTCTGAGAGATCAGTATGTACAAAAACACATATGGTACTTAAGTGCAGGGCAAGAGGCTAACTAAAATGATAGAACATTTAAAAACAAAACATAATAATCCTCAGGCCAGAGCATCCTCTCTAAGTTGCTAAGCTTGCAGCCTTGCAAAGTGGACACAGATGTGCTAAATAACAGAGAACTTATATCACCCCGGGGAACCCCA